TCCAGCAAAAAAAAAAAAAACAGCTCATGATTACAAAGACAGGGCCTTCAACAGTTTAGTTTATAGTAATTTCCTTCTAGCTTTCCTCAGTGTGCCACTGGTGCCTGTGTGTCTGCTGTACCAAAAGAAGTCTATTGGATAACATTGTGATTCGCCATCTCCTGTGGGGGCGCCACCCAACCACTAGGGGCGCTAAGAAAAAAACATTCATACCTCTAGATGCTGCATAATGTTTTGTGCATTAGAGACAGGGCGGTGGAGTCAGAAATTGGGGAATGGAGGACCACAGCCTCCGTGTATGGGGTGGGAATCACCAGAGTCCCCACGATACGATATTATCGCGATACTCGAGACAGGATACGATTCTATTGCGATTTTTAACATTTTGCTTAGAATTGCGATACAATATATTGCGATTTAACTTTTTTAACAGCATATTATGGCCACAAAACTAAACTAAATCAAGAATTGTTTTGTCAAATAAGACAAAATTCTCGGTCTGTTCATCTCACTTCAATCTTTTTATTTGTATTTCTAATTGAACTTTAACATGAATTCTTAACAATGCAACTTGTTCATAATGAATTGGGCAAACCCTTCAGCAGCATATCTAAAATATGACATCAAAAATATAGATACTTGGCCGCCATGAGACGATATAATATCACCACACAAAATATTGCGATACTATACTGTATCGATTTTTTCCCCCACACTAACCACACTAACCACTAGGCTTCTGGCTCCCCTATACACTGAACTTTTAAAGTAGGAAACTGAGACAGACATAAATTACCATTGCAAAGGATGGCATGATACTGCCATTTTATACATTTTCACTCAGAAAAGGAAAGATAACTGAATCAATCCTTTACATTACTTCTCTTTTTTGTTCTTTTTTCTCTGTTTGGCTTTTTGTAAACTGACGAAATATCAAACAAATGAATTTAATTATGCAAAAAGAGTCAATGAACAGATTGCAATTATGATATTCACTATCATATATGAATTACACATGCCGTCATGTAAGCGTTCATAAAACAGCTGTTTCAGTCATCATGTAGCACTTAACATGCTAGACAACTTTGTTCACTGTCGTTTTACTTTCAGGCCTCACTACATCACCATTGAACATGACTACCGTAACGTGAAACAAAATCTGGATTGTTTCAAATGTTTCAAATGTTACCATGGTGACAAAGAGGGCATTCATTTCTGCTTAGCATTTAATAAGACTTACTCCCTGATGTGACAGTCTTCCCCTGCCTCTCATCCGCTCACATGCACATGCAAGAACTCTCCAGATCTATTACAGAAATATTTCAGCTTCTGGTGATAAATCATGTCAAGGCCAGGCAAGTTTATTCATATACAGTACCATATTTCATCAACAAAGCATTCAAAGTGATTCACACAAGACAGCAAAACCATCATGACAGAGGGAAAAGGAAACATTGAAATAGAAACATTTAAAAATCCCTTAAAACAAAAACAAATGCACAATCAAAGAGAAGAATAAATATGAAAATATGGTAACATGAGTTCTAAAATAAAGAAATACGACATAAGCAAAAGAAAAAAAAGAAAACTATACAATAAGAAAGAGGTGCACTGTCAATGGATATGTCTGCTTTCATAGAAAGCAGCCTTAAACCCTTTAAATGCAGGAACAGACCTAGTTAGTGTGAAGGGAGTTAGCACGATCTAAAAGTTTACAAAGATGTCTGTTAAAAAATAAAAAGATGAACCAAGGCCTAATCATCCTTACAAATCAACCTGCTGAGTCAAATGTTTATGACTACTTTTGTACAGTTAACTTACATATAAACAGAAAATCTTTCTTCCTTTTTTATTTTGACCTAAAAAAATCAAATATGAAAGTTACATTTGTTGTCAACATTTTAACAGAGACCAGTGATAGAGATAAGGAGACTTACGCAGCTCAGTAGCAGTAGCAGCAGCACAGCACCCTGCATGGCTTCAGATAAAAGAAACTTCTTGACTCCTCTGACTTTAGCTGCCTTACACACGCTCTTTCAGGGGCTGCACTGGAAAAACACACACAAGCACACACCCCTGGATGACACAGCCCAGTGCAGCCCTGACTGACCATATATTTACAGTACAGCTAAGAGATGATGAAATCAACTGACCAAGCCAGACACTGGAAGTCTCATAAATCCTCACCCATACAGACACATCCTGTCTGCTTCTTTAAGAGTCTACTGCTTAATACAAGACTCGAGTGTGTCTTCTAATTCTGTTTTTTTTTTTTTTACTGTAATGAATAATTCGTCTAATAAACATAAATTATTTCTCACCCAGGTTGTCCAGAATATGATATCATGAGTGATGGATGGTGTGAGTGAGTCTACAGACAACACAGCTGTCTCTGATGTGGGATGAGCTTTATATCCTTTATCTCATCTGTCTCCTCTTTTCTTAAGTTTAGACTTTCTCTTAATAGAACTTCATCAGTTCTCAAATTAAAACTAAATTTACAGATTTGTTGGCCTGAGGGTAACTGGAACAGGTTGGAACTCTGTAAAGATGATTGGCAAAGTTTCCACTTTTTCTTTCATTTTGTCCAAAAAGTTTCCACTTTTTCTTTCAGTCATATGAAGTGCTTAAACTCAACTACAACCAATTACAAATGCATCAACTTATAACTGTGTTGTGTTTGATTTGTCATTGAACTTCACATTGAGCTCCCCCTCGTTCTTTTTGTCCAGGGTCAGGGGTGAAGGAAGGAAGGTCTGTGGCCAAGGTGAGGAATGTAACATTTAGATTAGAAGAGTGAGAAGCTGCTGTCGGTGGAGGGTTGAGTCAGGTGAGGTGTAATCTTACGGTAAAGGGTGAGCGGTGGGGCCATAAAGCTCCTCCCAGTAGCATCAGGCCAAGTGTAAATCTGCACTCCAATGTCCTGCCACCAGGGGACGCTCTCCTGCAGGAAATCCAGATACAACTCCAGCTTGGTCAGAGAGAAACTGAGGCAGGGAGATGTTGTACCAAAAGTCTGTCCCACAGCAGGAAACATAGCAGATGGACCTGTGAGGATATTACTGTCAGATACGTTAAAAATGCTTCAAGATTAAGTGTTTCAGATATAAAACTTAAAAATGGACTTCCGGATTCATATTTTAATTCAACACTTACATATTTCCAACAGAAGAAACTCCTAGTCCTTATACATTTGAAAAAGTCATTTTTTTCTCCAAATAACCATAACATATCCTATCACAATCATTTAAAACGCTGTTATTCAGATTCAAATATTACACCTAGAAACTGTAAAGCTTAAACATTTTCAAAACAAAATTCAACTTATTTAGGGAACTAAACACCAGTTAATGGTCATGCTCTGTGAAATACCCTATGATCATATAGACCGTGATTGTTTTTATCTAGACACAAATGGTGCAGGATCCTTTGGACATCTGGTTTCATCACTGAAGCTTTCAAATCTTTGGAGAAAATGTGACAAATGCTGCTGTTATTTTTCGGTTTACATCCAGGGTATGGAAATGTTAAATTCAATGAGCCTATTTTTTAAATAGATATTTTTCTTCTGATTTTACAATTACAGTGTTGGATATATTTATGTGGATCATTATGTTTTCCCTGTAGTTTTGGCAGTGTATAGTGTAAAGTGAGTTTGGTTTTTTATTTATCACTCAGGCTCTGATGATAGATTCTGTCCCATCTCCCCTTCCTGCCCTAAAATAGCCAATAGCTCCTCTGATCCAGACACAGACGTATCAGCCCACTCAGCTCCTCTGGAAAACTGTCAAGTAAACATTAGCACCTTCAAAAAATCAGTGTACACATACAGAAAACTCTCCCACACACATCAAACACACGCACTCGTACAGTACAAAGACAAACTGTTTCCTGAATCTTTCACTGACATGGACACTTGTGAGGTGGCAGGACTGTATAGATTTTAAGCCAGTGGTTGTGGTGTCACAGAGAGACTGGAGAGTGTGCTCATAGAGAGATGCTTCACAGGTGAATGTAAACTGTATCACAAAGCTGACAGATTCAGACTGCATTAGTGCTCAGTGTGTCAACAGTCAAGGTCAAGTGTAACACCAAAGCTTAAACCTTTGAACATACACATCATGGAAGAAAAAACATTCTAGATAAACAAGTCCACTACAGTCACATGATGTGACTTTGTACGCTCACTGGAAATGAAAACTGGTATCTACAAGTCAAAGATCCAATAATCTTGTATTCTCAGTTAACTATTTAAAATTAGCAGAATAAATCTTTTTGTGATATTTTATCTAGTAATCAGAAATCTTATAAAGATGTAATGTTTTATTTGTAAGCGAGGGAATGGTGGATTTTAGATATGAAACATATGCCATGAACTGGAAGGGGTTAACAGTAATCCAGCACAGCACTAAGCAACATTCAGCAAAGTCACAGTGACAAGAAAAAACATTCTTTTAAGAAGCAGAAATCTTGTGCAAAACTAGACTCATGATGAACAGCCATCTGCCGGCTTTAAAAATGATACAGAAGAAGATGCAGGAAGAAGGATAGGGACAAGCAGGGGAGGGGGGTGGGTCCAAAGCATCAGGCCGTCATCACCAAAGATCCAACGAATCTGAAATATAATGCAGCATGAGTGCAGGACTGATGTTAAGACTGACGAATCACATGTACCTACTTATTGACTGCAGAAATGATATGTGGTGTATTAGTGAACATAACATTGAATGTTAAACCCGTCATTGTTTATCAAACTGTATTCAAGGAATTCAAGAGGGGCAGGAAACGTTACCCGCTAGGCTAACGAAGGATGAGTAACCTTTCTTTCCTCTGCTAACAAACACTTTTCACCACGAGGTAAAAATGATAACATAAAGTGATCATTACTCACATTTTACACCAAGTCATTCTCCATCGACCTTCATGTCATCCATATTGTTGAAAAAAATATATAAAACACAATAAATAAAAATATAGAAATGTCACAGAGTACAGAAAGGTCAAGTGAGCTCTCTTTAATGGTCCTTTGAACAGATATGTAAACACTTGTTAAAGTCATGGACAGGCATCTTGATTCAAACAAAAAACATATATAATCGGTGCAATAAGTGACACAAGGATTTATTTTGTAGAGTTAACACTACTTTATTTTCACTGTTTGTTTTTTTTGAACCAGGAAGCTTCTCTAACTATGAAATCCAGTCTAGGCAAGGAACTCTTTGGTTGAGTTTCCTCAGGCACAGATCAGGCTGTTCTGTAAAGACATCAAAGTTAAGTCCTAGGCTGCTCTGTAATTGTTGAGCACCGTTCTATAAACTACAGGCCGGAGCCTAAACATGACCTGTATACTCCAGCAATCGAACCTTAAATCAACACATGTAAAAGGAGGATTCTGTGCTAAAGTAAATTAATTTCAGTCCAGGACTTTCTGATTCTGGGACTCCAGAGGGGGAGGTTTACCTCTTCTAACCTGCTCATCCTCTGTTTAGATTTGTCCTGTGTTCACATTTTATAAACATGTCAAACTCAACAGATTACACTAACACTACAGCACATGATTTAGATATACATCTCATTTAGGGAGGAAAAAATAGGGAAAAAGTTGAAATGTCAAAAGATATTAATAGTGAATGCTGGGACTGAAAAACATGAACTTTTCTCTGCCTACTGTTTCATCATTACCGTGTTGGTAAAAGGGCTTTTTTAAATTCCATTGGAAATGATTGAAACATTAAAAAAAAGGAAAATAGGCAGCTTTTAGACACATCTGACTCACACATCTATCATTATCACTGACATCATGTTCATGCAGGTTAAAATACATAATTCTGGAACTCAGAAAACACTGTAACTCACCATAATAACATAGCAGCCTGTTTCAGCTCTCTCAGGGTGAAAAGCTGTATACCAGTGTTTCCAGTGTTTCCAGTGTTTCCAGCTACTATAATTCAGTTTCCAAGTTGTGGTTTAATCTGTCAGTCATTAGCATTTTATCACTTCCCTGATAAATGAGCAATTCCAAAGACATACATATAATCTAGAGAAAACCTGGAGGGACATTGGGTCATATTGTAAAGTTAAATAACATATTTGATAACCCCTCAGCTACATTAGACCAAAGTTATTGCTAGCTAGCTAGCAGCCAGCTCCTAGCAAACATTAAGCATGCGGGATGTAAATTCCTGCTGCCATTTTGTCATCTTGGAACTGAAGCCTTTTTACGACTGTACACTACCAAAAATCATACTAGCTTTCAGCCACATCCTCGCTAACTGTAATAATGATAATAATAGCTAGCTCATGTTAGGTAGATGGCTGAATGCTAGCATTAGCTATTGTCTTATAGCTTTGGGTTATATAATACGTTTTTTAGAACTTGAACCATAACCAGATTTTCTCCACATTTTTCTATTCTCTGTCTTTTAAGTTGATGATCGATAGAAAAGAGATGCAGAGATGATTTTTTTTCAGGTAAGGTTAATTAATACAACTTTCTATAGCAGTTCTTTTTATAGCAGGAATTCAGCTTCCAGTCCAGAGGTGGACATCCAAGAAAAATGGCTGCTGTTTGAAAATGATCATTCATGTTTCTACTGACCAAAAGAAAGGATTCAATTTGACAGACACAATGTAGCTGATAACATATGGACAAACCCATAGACTGTGTAAAAAAGATGCTTCACCTCTGGTTTAAAAAGGGAAGTGGAAGTGCTTAACTGCTGTTAGTTTCATTCTTATAACGGCCAGCAGGGGACTCAACTGGTTGCTTAAAGAAATCCAAATGAATGGAAGCAGATGAGAAAATCTCCCTATTTCTATCTTAATCAATACCTCAACATACATTTTCTTGTAAGTTTACAGCCTCAATTGCTTACTTTTTTGTAAATAATGATCCCATTTAGAGTAAAGTCAAGCAAGGTATTCATAAGGGCAGCCTGTCAACCAGGACGGAGAATTTACAATGCGTCCAATCAGTCATGTAAATATTGATGCTTATCTTTATAAAACAGTTTATGGATAAACCATACTGTGCTGTGTCCTAATCAATGTTGCATCACATGGAAGAAGGCAACACTTCTGGAAGAAGACACATCCCTCTGTGTTCTGTAAGAAAATGGCTTTAGTCACCTCTCTGGCCCCACATCAACATCTAACCAGCACACGAGTATGAGGATTGAACATCCATTTCAGGACATTTAAGTTGTCTTTCCTACAGACTGATGTTTGTCGATGAAGACCTTTTCATGTAAATACCACATTGACTGATCTGAAGGTTGAAGAGACACTTCTAATGCTTCAGATATTTTAAGTCTTCACTTTGATTTACATGTTTTTGGAAGATTTAAGAAGCAAATACATAATAAACCCAACAGGCCAGTCCCCTGAGACAAAACATCACCTATTCTGAAATCTGTTCAACATCTTAAATGATCTTTTTTCACAACACAAAATCAACATAGACCTGCACTGTGCTGGTTCACTTTAAGGTACGTCGTCATTACTTTCAATGGACACAAAAATACTCAACTATCATCAGAGGTTTTGCTCACTGTAAGTTCTGCAACTTGGTTTTCTGTGTTGATTATTTATTGACTATTGACAGTATAATGCCCTTAAACTATGTGGATACTCTTATTGTAAACAAGAACTGTGTGGAATTATCTACTGGAAAATTCTTAAAATCCGATTTCAACCCCTGTTTCAATGCTACTTTTAACACTATGCTTAGTAAAGACTAACAGCAACCCTCTCAAGAGACCAGATCATTAGAACTAAAAGCTAAAATACATTCATTGTATTACATTTGTACATGCTACCTCTATGTTCACATAAACAAAACGCACTTTTAACAGTTTCTTGGATTCAACAAGAGGTTGCGACTCCTTGGTTCAATGTTTTATCATATTTTGTTCAAATAACAATCATCAAAACACACTTGGAAAGGCTTGGCAACACTTGTTTTTGCCTGCAGTGATCAACTTTGAACCCAGTCTGTCTCTGCTGTTGTCTTGATTTGGCAAAATGTCTCTGTTAAGAGAACACACACATGTAAACAGGCACCCAAGTCTACACAGTCCACATGTAGCTTCCCTTTAGCTACAACAAACACACAAAAAAACTTTGCAGACAATCATCCAAGTGTTCAGATAAATAGCAGTAAAGTCCTGCATGTTTTGCTACTGATGCTGAGAAAACAAGTTCTCAGAGGAGCTAAATCCCCCGAGGGGCCTAGTCTCTTTTGCATCCTCTCCATCTGTTTTTTTTTTTTTTTTTTTTTTTTTTTAGCAGCGGTCATCCTCGTCTGTGTCACTCAGCAACTCTTTAGCTCCAGCCGGACTCGCCTGACCAAATTGCTTCCGGAAATGCCCGTTAGGAACCTGCCAGGAGTGTCTAAGCTGAGGGGCGGAGAATGTCGCGTTGGCCCGCCCGAGGCTGGTTGCCATAGCACTCTCAAAAGTAAGCGTGTCCTGCTTATCCCCTCCTTCTCCACTACTGATGTCCCCGTGGAATGGGAGGTAGGGCTCTGAGATGTAGCGGTGAGGAGATGGGTGGCTCGGTACTGAAAACTGGCCTCTGGATGACTCCTGAGGGATGTCCTTGTCAGCCCTCTGTGAGGTCTCTGTGGAGCCACCAGGGCCCTGTTGAGGCTGGGTCTGTCCTTCAGAGGAGCTTGCTGGTGGGGGGGAGGTGTGGGCTCGGCAGGACAGAGGGGAGTAGGAGATGTGCGGCCTTGGGCGAGAGGGCGTCTGTGGCAACTGACGCCGATTACGAGGAGTACCAGACTCTGAGGCTGACTGGGCAGGGCTGCCTGATGTGTTCACCTGCAATTAACACATGCACAAAAATAATGTTAGAATTATCTTCAGCCCTTATTCACTGACTAACCTATGATTTACCTTGCTCTATAAAACTCCTACCTGTCGCTGTAAGGTGTGTTTGCGTCCTTCGCTCGGTGAACGGGACTGTCTCCTCTCATGTGATGGTTCCCGGCTGCGCTCCTCAGAGTTGCAGCGTGACACATCAGGAGACAGAAGGTGGCGCCGTTCCTTAGATCGTCCCCTTTCATGTATGCTAGTTTCTCTGTGGTTGATTCTAGGACCTAAACACATGTTTGGATTTGAGTAAATAAGAACATTAAAGCTGGCAGGAAAAAAAATCACCTCAGTTTAGGTCAGAAAAAAAGAGGAACATCTTTGTGACTTCTCAGAGCTCTAAAGCAGTTAGGGTTAATTTTGTCAGTTCAAAGGCTCAAAGTGAGTATTAAGTTTATGATAAAAATATCAGGTAAAAATCAGGTAAAATTGCAGTAATTACACTGTTTCATAAAGTGAAATATATTAATTTCTGTAACAACTGTCAACATTTGATCAAAAATGCCATGAAAGTCATGAAAATTCTCATTTTGTTTGAATTTAATTTATGTTATCTAAATTAATTTATCTTGAATATTCAGTATATAAAGAGTTTACTGTTGTAAAATGTGTTTGTTCTAGGTCAAAAGCAGTTTAAATTAATGCACAATTATTGAAAAGTTTCAAAAGACATTGTAAAAATACTTTGGACTTTTTAATTATACATATGTTTAGATCTTCAAACATCTCAGTGATATTTTCAGGTTAGAACACGGTCATGTTAAGACAGTGGTTTGATATGTTTGTGTATGTAAGTGACCTCTGTAGCTCCTCTGACGAGGCCTGTACGAGTCGTCAGGGCTGACTCTCTCCAGAGAGTACTGCTCCTGCCAGAGACCATTCACGCACTGGTCTCCGATGGTGGAAAAGGAACGCTTCATCAGCTTATTGTCTGCTGACATCCCAGGCTACACACACATTAAACAACCAGAGAAGACAACACTCGAGTTATGAAAGACACCTTTACAGCAAGTCTCCCTCTCTCATTAATACAAAAATAAGAAAATATTTGTGTGCATAATTTAGCCAATATGAATTTAAGCATTTATTTTTTACAGTAATTTGGAACCCAGGATTTGTTTAGATCTAAAAAAAAAAAAGTGAATACAAATTAATAACGTCCATTACCTGTGGGTCAACAGCCAGTCTGGGCATGGAGGATGCTCTGATAGAAGCTGTCCGCTGAGGGGATTTAATATCTGTTGGGTCCTGCCCGGCCTGCTGCATCACTTGGTTATATTTTACAACATCAGGGACCTACACACAGAGAGCAACAAATGTCAGCCGATTGTTTCTCATTCATCTCCTTTGGAGATTGAAGAATACAACAATTTTAATGAGATTCTGTGATTTATAGAAATGGGAAAGATCTGACCTAATAACGGTATCGGGTCCGATATTGGTGTGATTTACATATTGGCAGTCTGACTGACGGCGACAATCCATGCCAATAATCAAGAAAAGATTCTTCACTCTCAGAGTCTGCTTTGAAGACATTCAGACTAACCCTAACCCTTTTTTATATGATGTTAACCTTCAGGAAATAGATTGGACTTGTAGTTTTTCTAGTTACCAGTGTGTGCAAATGATGGTGGTGGTGATGTGGGTGGAGGTAGGGGTGGTAGGGTGAACGATAGCTATCATCCTCCTCCTCTTCCTCATCCTCTCTCTCCTCCCTGGAGTGAGAAATTGGCTGCAGGAACATCTCTTGTGGAGAAATTGGACTGAGAGCCACAAAACCTCCCCTGGTGCTGAAGGAGCACACACAGACACAGACAAAAGATACATGACATGCCAACATGACATGACATAGTCACATGATGAATTTGCAAACATTTTCTGATGATGAAGGAAATGACAGTCTCTGCCCAGAATTCAAAATCAGGAAACAAGATATGTCTTTACCTTATAGCAAAAATAAAAAAAACTATGCGGCTAAATAAGAGAACAAATGAAAGTTCATTATTTACAGAGCAGATCCCGCACTGTGCCTGAGGAATGAAAGGGCTTTGGCATTGCATAGGATTTCTTGAGGCAGAGAGGAAGCATCCATTCGCTGGAACATTGGTGCATGTTTCTAAGGAGGTCGAGAAAAACACAGGAGGAAGATGAGGAATTTAAACAGGCTACATTTGCTCGAGCATAACAAGAGCATTGACATTTCGAGCAAATAGTCACAGAAAGAATAGAGAAATATCTTTATTTAAATGGCCAGTTGGTCATAAACTTTACAATTTATCTAGGATGAATGCTCGGTTTAATACAATGAATACTCAATGTCAAATAATAAATTATATATATATATATATATAACATATAAACTGATAGTGAAAAGGTACCTGCTCCTCCAGTTGCTGTCGCAGCTTCTTGGCCTTGCTCTGCTTGTAGTAGTCCATGATCATCATGGCGGCATAGATCTTCCCAATGGTCATGTCACTGGCTAAAAAAAAAAGGAGTAAGCGAAATCACCACACCTTGTAAAAAATCGATTCAGTTGTATAACCAGTTTAAAACTAAACATTAGCTTCTTCTTTTTTTTTGGAGAGTAACTATTGTACTGTTGAGCTGCAGGGGAAATGCTGATGTCACCTTTGTTAATGGGAACCAGCAGCTCCAATGACTTCTGAGAGAGATGAGGCCAAATCACACCAATCTCCTTCTGCAGGTCCAGGTCCATCTGATTTCTATCCTCCCCTCCTAGAAAGACACAAGGACTTAGACATCATATAGTAGGACATGATATGATAGGATAGGATACAATACACACATTAGGTGTTACTTTATGAAATCTGTTCAGTTACGCAGGGTAAAGGTGTGTCTATAAGGTGGTTATGTTCATTCTAACCTCTGGCTATCTTGACCTCCAAGGCGGTGCGGATGAGGGCCATGAGGGTGGAGGTGAAGTGAACGGACATGTCCTCGTCCACAGGCATGTTCATCAGGACAAGTCTCTAAAGGCAGCAGAGGGATTATTGTAGTCAGTAACAACCCACACACCAACAAACCATTATACAACATTTCACGAAGCTAAAGTGGAAGCCCAGAGTTGCTCTATTTGCTTGTTGTGTGAAACAGTCCTGTTGTACTGTGATTACAATGACTAAAGATTCTCGTTAAATCTTGAGAAAACAGGTTACAGATTGTGCTGTTTATTAAATGTTGCCTTGCCTACCATAAAAATTCCAATTAATTCAGCCCACAGACTTGACAGGGCATACAAGTGCAGGAGTGCCATTGTGACATTTCATAAAAAGCATCCATTAAATAAGTTCAGTTCGTGAATCAGAAATTACTGTAGTCCCATATTGAGATATGGAGATAAATCAATGACTAGCTTGAAAAAACAACTAACAATTGAATTTAATAGATTGATACAACATGGTGTTTCTTGTTTTTAAGAACATTAACTCTAAGAGCTAGATGATGAGACATATGTCTGGTTTTAATACAAGCTATTATTTAACAAAAACATGAACACTCTGTGATCTTGTTACCGTATGTTAGAGTAAGAGTAGTAAGTAAAAATGTGTTTATGGAGATATGTAAATTTTCCCTATCCAGTCCTGTAAAGGAAGATTCCAACAGGATTTGCTGTGTAGCTACAGTAGTTCTATGAAAGAAGACAAAACTCACACAACACACTTGGAAGCAGGAGATTAGCAATTCATCTGTGATGGCGCATGCTTGCAGGCTCACAAATGACACATACACTGGTTTACTGATAACACAACGCGGAAACACTGGGCTGTCAGGAGGAACATGCAGACAAATACAGTACATGTAAAAACAGAGAAGTATGAAAGACATGAGAATATTTGACAACAGACTTCTGCAAATGAGAAGATTTAGCATGACGATGTTTGGCAACTTGCTGACTGTTTTGCTTCTGACTGGCTCACAGATGTAAACTTCAACAAAGTCTCTTTCATCAGCCAACAAAAAAAGATGTCCTTTTGTTTCTGCCAAGATGCAAAGCCAAACAGGCAAATAATTACTGTAGCGCTGCCCATCTTCCATTAAAAAAAAAAAATACTGGCGCTGCTTCAACAGGCATCAAACAACCAACAGACAAAAATGCCTTCATTTTCAAATATATGACACACAAAATCCTCAGCAGTGCCTGTTAATCTCTTTTGTTTTGTCTACCTTATATGCCAACTTGGAGGGGCATTTCTTGCCCAGGCCTAGAGGTGGCGACATGTTGGTCAACATCTCATACATGTCAGTGTAATGGATACGACCACTGGGGGCGCCAGGTAGCCATGAAGATGGGGATGAGAAGGAGGGGAAGTGAGGGAGTTGGCAAAGAAATGTCATAATGGTGGAAGAGTCGGGAAGGGTTTTCCAAGGAAAGGAGCAAATGAAAAGGTGGAGGAAAAAAAAGAGAAAATAAAGAATGAAGGAGATACAAAAGACAGGATTATTTCAAGGCATCACATAGCAGGAGAGAATAAAGTAGGAGAACTAAAACAGGTTGTATCCTTTCTATGCTGCCATCAGGGCATAGAAATCTGGGAAAGGAGAAAAACTCACACAGGATAAGCAAAGAAATGACAGCCTCACTGGATCTGGTACAACTGTGTAATACTTACCTTTTGTAGCCTTTGATGCAACACAAAACACTTCTCAATACCAGATCCAAAAGGTAGAAAGGTACAGGCTTTTTCCCCAGAAAATTGCTCCAAAAGTCAGATGAAATCTCTAATAGAATTGAAGTTTTTATATGTTTACTTGTAATTGTCAATGAGGGACTTCCTGTGCCTTAGTACCCAGAGACTGGAATGTCATCATTCTTTGAGTAACCCACCCCTAACAGTCAAGCAGGGTGGTGAAGGGAGGGAATGGAGGAGGATAGAAGGGATCCCACACTAAAGAGGGGATGGGCGGCACCAAACCTTGCATGCCACCCTGTGAGGGCAGTTCTTTCCAAAGCCCAGAGGAGGTGAGATAGTGCGTACAACTTTGTACATCTCCTTATAGTGGAGCCTACCACTGGAAAGAACATACACTTCTTTAGTTGTGTGTCATGGCATCCTTGTAGTCCACAACATTGACTGTACATAAAGATGGACGGTGTGTCTCCACTTGTTTGATAAAAGTGCAGCAGTAACAACCTCCTCTGATAGGCACTCACATATAGTACTGTCCTTTGGACATCACCAAAACACACAATTCACTTGCGGATATAAAAGCAAAGATCCCTCAGGCTGGGGTTCCAAATCAGATTAGATTCTTGTGTCCGTTTGAGGCAGACACTCACGGTTTTGTAAAGTTCAATGACTCTTGTGTTATTGTTACTAATGTTTCCTCGTGTTGTCGCTCTACTACTCTGCTAAACCAGAGACGCATTTATCAACAGAGCTGTCAATCACGGAATTAAACCCCTTTGTATGGCATCCAATAACTTCAAAGTTAAAGGTCATACATTATGCAATATACACTTTACCATGTTTTTTTCTTGCACTAATACGTATGAGTCCCTAGCCTGTCTACAAACCTCCCAATTATGACAAAAGTCCATCCTCTCTGTCTTTTGCCTGCTCCATTTTTCAGAAAATGTGTGCTCAAACACGCTGTTTGGAGATTTTCCCTTCATGACATCACAAGGGGCAGTAACCCCTCCGCCAGGTGGGTGACACTCCCCCAGCTGGGTATTTGTTCCGCTCTCTGAGTCTACCTTTCTACAGTAAACAATCGGGCATGGTTCAAGAAAGCCCAATCCGCCTCACCTTCCAGAGAGGGGGCGTGGTCAGACAGAGCTCATTTACATATTTAAAGGTACAGACACAGAAACAGCCTGTTCTGAGCAGGGCTGAAATAGAGGGGTTTATAGGCATGATCAAATACAGGATCAAGATTTATAACATTATTTAAACTGGTTGAAAAGGAGGATAATATGTGACCTTTAACAGAAAAGTGTACACTTGAGGCAAAATAAGAACGAAAAATTTATAACAGAAACTATGTTTGAGAATTTTTTTTTGACTTGTATTATCATTTTATGTCTTGATCCATGCGCCTTCTGTTAACATGCAGGAGGCGTAGTGTATATACTTTATCCAGTCAGTAAAGGGAGCTCCAAATACTTTGGATACTTCAGAGCTTTCATGTCGTCCATCTTTTTATACAGTCAATGGTCCACAAGAAGGCTGAATGGGGTCTGAAAACAGGCTATGTCCTGTTCAAAAAATGAGTTCTCAGACAAAGTAGCAATACAAATAAACATTTAAATATCTCTAACGAACAGGTATAAAAATGACTATTTCAATTACTTAATGAGCCTGGTAAAATCTTTTAAGACATGGTTATTGTGACAAGACAGAAACCCCCAGATTGCTACCCCCCACATAAAATATTAGAGTCAGTGTCAGTGATAGCAAATGTAGATTATAAAGACAATCAGTTACCTCAATAAACAGATGTGTTTGAAATAAACACAATGAACAATAGGGTTTGAATCTTAAATCCTTACTTATTAATATTACTTACTTACTAATATTTTAAAAACACTAAAAGTAACATTTTTTGATTCACTTATGATAAAATATAGGGAAAAGAAAACACTGACCAGGCGGCACGGTCATACTCCCCCCAAATCCGAACAAACTCATCCAAGTGATGAGGACCCAAGATGGAAGAGTCTCTCGTTAAATACTCAAAGTTATCCATGATCACAGCTACAAACAGGTTCAGCATCTGCACAGAAGACAAACAGCAGAGAAAAACAAAAATTGGTGACATTTAAAACATCTTCACCTGGTGTTTCAAGCACATCAGGTTAAGTGTTCAGAGTTATCCTTGTTGTACTTAGAGAAATCTTTAACACTCCAGTTTCCTTGTCTTACCAGGAAAGAGCTGAAGAAGATGAACGAGACAAAGTAGAAATAGGCAAAGTCAGAGCCACAGCCCCCCTCCTGGTCAGGCGTCGTTACTGCTGGGTCTTTCTCACACTTCTGTCCTCCCAGACATGACAACATGATCTCCTGCCATGACTCCCCCGTGGCACTCCTGGACACATACATAACACAACCCCATAAGGAGGAAGACGAGGAGGATGGTTAGAGCTCTAGCGGTCCAGATCACAGTTTATTAACAGTTTTGTCTGCCATCTGGACGGTGTGATCAAAGCTTTTGGACTCACACCGGATGCTTCAGAGACGGTGTGAGCAATTCAAATGTGGAACCTTGATGTCCAGTGTAACGCTTACATTGTCTGTACATTCTGAATACTATATGGCTGACCTTTAAAAGCCTTTAACTATTAATATAAATGTTTCATATGGTCCATTTTCTTAATTCTGGTTTTACCACGGGCTTTCTGTCAGCTGCAGTTTCTCATTATACACAGCCAAAGCAAATTGATCTTGAATTCTATCAGTTTTAAATGCTGTGTCGTTATTTGTCTTATAAGAGCCAACATATCATCTGACCCTCTGGTAAAAACAAAGCTGTTTACTGAGGAAGTAAGTGGTACACTGCATTATCTATCACCCCTTGATGCTGAAAAGGCCCTGGGGTATTTACAAAGAAAAGTCCTACTGTAACCTTCCAACATTATTTGAACTACTGCCACACTGTTATTTAGTCAACCAAGTGTTGTTTGGATTCCTGCTGGTTCAATAATGGTAATTTCTTTTCAAGTTAAGCGACTGGATTTAGTACATGAGTTTCATAGTGTATCATGAAACAGCTTGCTCAATTATTTTGTTAATGATCTGAAAGAAAATCAAACACAAAGAAAAATTTGCAAAAGAAAAGACAGAAACAGATCTGAAGTTGTTGTACCTGAACAGCAGCATGAGAGCACCAGAGAAGGTCTTGAAGTTGTTGTGCTGGGTAATGTGTGTGTTGTCATTCAGCTTTATGTTCCCAAACACCTGATTCAACAACATATACACACTGAGATTAAATAACATTCAAAAAAACAACACAAAGGCAGCACATGAGATGAAACTTGTAACTGTTAAGATTTTTTTTTTTTACACCGAAAACAGCTTTCTTATGCAGCTTGTAATAAACATGAAGGTTGTACACCATTTCAAAAGACACAGAAATAGATGCAGCAGCTGTATCTCTCACCTGCATGCCAATGATGGCATAGATGAAGAAGAGCATGGCGATGAGCAGGCAGACGTAGGGCAAAGCCTTGAAGGACTGGACAAAGGTCCACAGCAGGATCCGGATGGTGTAACCCTGCCTCAGCAATTTGATGAGACGAGCTGCTCGGAACAGCTTCAAGAAGCTCATGTTGAACGTGTCAACGAACTGAGATACATACACAAGAGAGAGGGGAGGTTATTGGTTAATGGAATTTTGTTTGGAGATATCCGCTTGTTGAATACAAAAACAATACTGTTTATGTTCATTTAAAAAATAATATTTTGTGATTCATAGCTGTGCTGTTTAGTGACAGTGTTATTTTCTTATTACCTGCAAATCCACGACAATCTCTGTGATGCTCCCCAAAACAGTGATGAAGTCAAAAATGTTCCAAGTGTCTCGAAAGTAGTTCTGCAAAAACAGCAGAGATGCTTTAAGACATTTTCAAAAACGATTGTGAATGAATATATAGGCAGCTGTATGTTGCTGTTTTCTCTCACCAAGAGGCCGAATGCCATGATCTTAAGGACACACTCAATGGAGAAGAGAACAGTGAAGGCTGTGTTCAGGTGCTTCAGTACAGCCTCATATGCCGGCGGGGGCAGAGTAATACTGAAAACAGAAGGGCAGCAGGGGTTAAACTGTAGGAAATGTGCAGTGTGAGTAAAAAAAAAAAAAAAAAAGGTCACTGCTGCGTATGACACCAGTCTGATATCAGTGTGAACTTGTGCTCCCTGCAGGTATACAGTTTGACGGAAGATTCCTCCAGACCCATAAATAGTCCCTCAGTCTCTGCACCTCTCATCTGCGGCACTATAAAAAGAGTCATTCCTCTGGGGGGCGGCAGCCACAGTTAATGAGGTCATGCTAAATAGCAGCCCGTGGACATTATAGATCAATATTTAATACAGGCTGAGTCACCCGCGCCTGTCTGTCTGACTGTCTGAACAACCTGTACGGCTCCAGAAAAGGCCAACATGAGAAATAAATTCTGCTGAGAGAGAGCTGAAGAAAAACATCCAAATCCAAATGAAAGCAGTGTGTTTGGTTATATAATGAAACCTAAGATGGACACATCAGTTTTCAACAGATGTCTTTAGTCAGAAGTGACGCATCTTGGTTTATTTTTAAACTAAAGTGTTAAAAGTCACAAGTTTACTGCAGAATGTGCCGCTCAGAAGCAACACATGGTGTGTTTTTCTAGCAGCAAACAAAGAAAAGTCAGTTGTTGTCCTCTTATTTTGATTCTTTAGAAGAACATTTGTTTTGTCAATTATTTGTCTTTTCACTCTTTTGTAAAAAAAAATAAAAAATCATTCACGTTTATCTATCACACATGTTTATAAGATTTACTATCACAGTCAAATGTATTCCCACCAAGACCTTCAGCTTCCTCACCTTCATCATCAGTACAATGGTGTTGAGGGCGATCATGGCCAGGACGGTGTACTCAAAAGAGGGTGACACCACGAAATGCCACAAGCGGTACTGGAACGTGTGCCGGTTTTGGGGCATGTAACGGGTCAGGGGCTTGGCACTGATGGCAAAGTCTATGCATGCTCTCTGGAACACAGAACAGAAGAGAGAGGGAGGGAGAAAAGTGACGCAATACAGAAATAAACAGCACATTGTACTACTGTCAAGCTGTTTCACCAAACGAACGTTCTTTGTTATTGTTTGTTTTCAGCTGGGCAAAATAACGAGACAAAAATAATTGTTCTTAACTTTATGTTTATGGATTTGTTTATTAGTTAGAGCCAACCAGAGTACAATTTAACGATATTGGTTTCACAGAATTCACAGTAAACAGTTTGTTTTTTCTAAGTAATGAGGCAGATGGGAAAGATGCGACTGATTTAATCCATCCATCCATTTTCTTCTGCCTATCCGAGGTCGCGTCATTGTGGCAGCAAGTGCAGTAAGTCAACCCAGACTTCCCTCTCCCCAGCAACGTTTTCCAGCTCCTCCTGGGGGATTCCGAGGCTTTCCCAGGTCAGACAGGATATATAATCCCTCCAGTATACTCTGGGTCTACCCCGGGATCTCCTTCCAGTTGGGCATGCCCAGGAAACCTCCAAAAAGAGGCATCCTAATCAGTTGCTCAAACCATCTCAACTGGCTCCTTTCGAGTGACTGATTTTTAGTTTAAAACAAAACTTAAGAAATTATTTCATCATGACTTTCCTCACCTCGTTCTTTTCCAGGCTGCACTCCTCCATCATCTTATCCCCCTGTTCCTGGAAGGTGATGATGATGAGAGCCACGAAGATGTTGACGAAGAAGAAAGGAAAGACGACAAAGTAGATGACGTAAAAGATAGACATCTCCATCCTGTTGCCGTGGCTCGGACCTCTGTCCTCCTCCGTCACATCTACTGAGTGCTGCAGAACCCTGGAAGACAAACATGATGCTCATGCTAATGCTTAAAAACTCAAGAATCCCATTTAAAAAAGAGAGATCACACAGGTAAGAGAATTCCTTCATCAAAGGTCAGATTTAACCATAACCAAACTGAACGCCGAATGTTAAAGGTTAAACTGCTAATAAAAATGAATGAGATTGAAGAATTAAAATGGTACAAAAGAAAGTTCCAGCTTCATTTTTTTTCTTCATCCAGCATCAGAATCAGCACTGAGTCCACTCGTCCACTCACTGAGGCCAGCCCTCTCCCGTTGAAACAGTGAAGAGGGTGAGCAGAGCCCAGACGATGTTGTCGTAGTGAAACTCGTGTCTCTTCCAGTCTCTCCTCTTCATCTCTTTCTTGTCCTTTCCGTAGTCAATGTAGTAACCCCTGGAGGAAAAAGGAAATAAAAGTACCAAACAAAAGTTACAGGAGCAAATAAAACAACACAAAGGCACAGTTACAATGATATATAGTTTGATTCCATAATGAATTCACTTTACTAATACTGCCCAGGATAAAGAAATACAGGGGGGCAAGTGTTAATAATTCCCTTTTTTCCTCTCCTCTTTTTTTATCTCTTTTGTCGTTTCAATAAAAAAAGAAGTTAAAGATAAAGAGAGAGGAGAAACAAAAACCTAAAATAATACATTTATTAAAAGGAAATTGAAATTGGGTAGAAGGAAAAAGAAAGAAAAGGGGGAAAGAAATGGAAACAAAAGACATGGAAGGAAAGAAGAAAAAACAAGAATAGAAAAAAAAGAATAAAGGGGAAAGAAGGAAGCTAGGAAAGAAGATAGAGACAGAAAAGGGACAAAGAGAATGATGGAAAGAAGGAAATAAGAAATATTAAAGGGAAAGAAAGGAAGAGAAAAAGGAAAGAAGGTAAAAAAGGGGGAAGTTAAGGATATTAGAAAAAAAAAGAAAAAGACTAAAATAAAGAACGATAAATCTGATTAAAGGTTAAAAAGAGAGAAGAGAGTATTACTGGCAGTCCTTCTCGGTTGTCTTGGAGCTGTCGGTACAGTAGAAAAACTTCCCCTTGAAGAGCTGCACGGCGATGACAGCAAAGATGAACATAAAAAGCTTATAGACGATCAGGATGTTGAAGACATTTTTCAGAGACGTCACCACACAGTCAAACACTGCCTGCAAGACACGAAACAAAGAAACACAAGTGGAAAAACATGAGGTTAGATCAGGGAAACAGTCTGAGCTGGGGGTCACACCTTTAATTGCTGATGTATCCAAGTATCCATTTATGCGTCAGCTATTGTACAGACTTGTGAAATGTGTCATTGTCATTGCACATTTCGAATGTTTTTCTTTCTGTTGTGTATCTGATTCTCTGTCAACATTGATCATGAATGTGTATACACAATGCACACACACACACACACACACTGCACAATGCCCTTTGCCTTTTTTAGATTTTTACACGAACGTTTCTTTACATGCAGTATGCGTACTGCATCATTTTGTTGTATTGTTGTGTTGCACATAAGTTCAATGACAATAAAGCTTTTGAAACTGTGGGATGTGGACATTATTAGAAGCAAACACATGACTACTTCGACACTCCTCCAGCTGCTTCTCAAGCTTTAAGATAATGGATGGATGGATGTCAAAACAATAACATTGATTTTAAATGTATTCATAAATACATTTGACTTTTCTTGTATAAACTTTTAACCTACACACCCTTGTTCTTCCCTAAAGACCTGTGTATAAATTATCAAGTAAGTGTGTTATCATGGTTTAAATTAAAATGTGCACATTTTAATTTTGACCACCTTAGAGGCAAACAGACCCTGGCACCACACCTGAGATCTTTGGCACCTCCCCCTAAAGGGGCCCGGACCCCAGGTTAGGAACCAATGCTTTAAATTGTCCCACCTCTCCTCCTCCTCCTCATTTTTATTCTCCCTGTAGATAGACTAGGTGTGAGGTTTCTTCATGCCTTGATGCTCACAGTTTATCACCTCACTACTCATCGCCTCATCTGTCTACTTGTCTCGTCTCTACTCTCAGACGTTCAACACACAGCTATGAATGATAAGAGACGAGCCGTCTGAAAGCTATTTCATATGTTTATTACTTTGTGTTAGTTAAATCTATTCATTCATGATCAAAATAAGACCTTGATATTGTTATACAAATAATACACGTATGAACACAAATCCAAAGCGGCTCTGACCTTGAGTTTCGGGAGTCTCTTGATGGTCTTGAGTGGTCTGAGGACTCGTAACACTCTCAGAGATTTGATGGTCTTTATGTCTCGTCCTTTGCTGTTTCTGTTAAGAAAGATAAAGTGAGTGTGAGCATCACACCATTGTTTGACACTCTTAGATACAGTTTTTTCAATTGTATCTGTTAAAATATGTTTAATAAAAAGTTACAGTATTTGTTGTAATTAGGGAACATTTTACAAGTTACAAGTTTTTTTTACCCCAACACATTGCTGGTGGACAGTCCCGTAGAGGTATCATCCACAGAGGGAGTTAAACAGGAAAGAGGAACATTTATATCAACAGTTATAATGTAAGAAAAAAATGAACGCGATGCGTACATAAAACAAGTCAACATAAAAATGTTTTATATAAATATATTACAGCTGATTCGAAGACGTTTCATTTTTTTGGACTTTTGATTTATGTAAATGAGAAAATAAACATTCTACTGACGAGAGGGCGAATGCCACCAACGCTCCCACCACGACGATGAAGTCTAGGATGTTCCACAGATCTCTGAAGTAAGAGCCATCATGGAGGATCAGACCCTGGTCAATCATCTGAGGGCAAGTCAAAGCTGTTCATGAGAAAAACATCCTGCTCCACTGTAGTTTGCAAGGGCAGGCCAAATCTGTTTTTATATATGACAATGTTTTAGGAGTATCTGTTGAAGTGTCTTAAATATAACGGCGTCAATATAATATATAATATAACGGCATGAGCACTGGGCTTAACAAAGTTCTGAAGGGGAAAGGTCATTACCCTGTGAAGAATTAAGTCCCCAACAAAACGTTGCAAGCTCAATCTGAATAGATTGTCACGATCAATAAAATGCATTGAAAAGAAAATGAAAGGTCAAAAGTATACACTCCTTGTCTGTCTAATTGTGAGTACAAACTGATCGTAAAATATCAAACATTTGCTTTAGAACAAAGATCTATTTAACTTCTAGTCAATTGTATGATGTCATCAATCATAAATCAGCTGAAAGTGGTTGCTTTTTACAATATTTGCTGTTTGAATACATGTTTGAATCAGAAGATTCTACAGACTACAAATGGACACAAGATGGAAACCATGGGGCGTCCAATAACGACATATCTTTAATCGCCAAATCTTCTTCACTTATATTACGATATCTGCTCATAGAGATTAGGAAAACTTTAGGCTGCAGAAGCTGTATTTAAACTTGACCACAAAGTCTTGCTATTGATCACCACACACAGGCACAGATGATTGTATAACGTCTCACCTTAATAACCATTTCAAATGTGAAGACTCCAGTGAAAACATAATCAAAATATCGCAGAACCTGCAACCAGTGTGAGACAACAATCAGACAATTAGACACATACATGATAAAAATGTGTCTCACTCAAAAAGGGACTGTTTTTTTAATTTTTTAACATGCTCACAACCTGTAATGCCTTTTATACTTGACAGACTCGTATCTTGTTGTACAGTGTGAAACAGACACATCAGATGAGGGTTACACCAAGTATTTAGCTTCATTCTCCAATCTACATCTACTCTCAGGGATTAAACTGTTCCCCTTTAAATCCCAGCAGAGACCTTGTGTGAAACAACTGAAGGAGCTGCTTGTTAGAAATGTTTTCTCTTATCTTTCTGGGGCTTATTCGGCAGCAATTAGTCCCATAGCACAGATAAAACGTGATTGATAAGAATCCCCTGATTGATTCGATTGAAAGTAATGGAGCAGAAATATTCAGGTCCCTATGAAGCCATTCATGCTGCAGCTGTATGTCAGATGATATATTAATGAATGTGAACAGGCAAAAACCTTATTCCAGTCAGAGGAGGTGGCTACAGGGTCCTCGGCAGCCAGTGCTATACTGCTTGCAGCTATGACCAGCAGGATGCACATTTCAAAGTACCTGAGGTTGACTACGTAGTGACATGCTCGACGCACCCTGAAGGAGAGCAGAAGACAGAGGAAAGAAGTGACACAGAGGTCTGAAACCACTTTGACAAGAGTAACAAAGCAAGAGGTTGAAAGAGGCTGCATAGTTGATCAACATGAAGATTAAATTCTGAACATGTGTAAACTGTAAGAGTTGTAGGAGCTAAATGTGTCCATCCTTGTTTCCTGTGACAGAGAAGAGGGGTAGAAACTTACGGGTTATCAGGTTTGAAGATGAACATGCTGTCTGGAGTCACAGGGTTCACAGTCTCCTCTGCTTCTTCCTTCTCTGACTTACAGGTCTCAGGGTCTTTATTGTTGACTGAGGAATGTGAGAAGGAGGAGAGAAGGATATAAGGAGAGTAGTAGGTGCCTTGAATACAAACAAGGAGGAAGGCCTCAAAAAGTAGCAGAAGCTTAGTTTTCAAAAGGCAAGCTTAATCTTAAAAATATCTGCTGAGAAAAGACCGAGGCAAGCAGTGGTAAGACGAATCAGAGAAATGTGGGGGACAGCTTAAAGATGAGTCAATGAGTCATTGCCTCTAAAAATGCTGAAGTGTGGAGGCAACGATTTACCCAAGGAACAACAGATATGAAATGAAACATGACTGTGGAACTGCATGACCTATTTCCCATCTTTAATTAATCCTAAATTTGCCACATTTGTTTCACATTTCCAGACCAGCCATGCAGCTGTAGGAAGGATGCACAGTGATAAGTAGTTGAGGACTTAAGTTACCTGTGATTGTGGAGAGCTCCAGAGACGACTGAACTTTGGCCATTTCGATTATCACGCTTGAGCTGAGCGGACATTTTTTGTGCTCCTGCTCGGTTTCTTCCTCCTCCTCCTTGTTTGTCTCTGGAATGGCAGGAGGGGACGGCTCTGCTTGCTGAGGAGGTTCTTCCTGTGCCTGAGGACACAGATCACCCGTTTGGGTCTGGTTTTCTGGAGAGTCGGTGTGTCCTTCTTCACTTCTCTCATCCTGTCTGAAAATACAGAAAATGGGAATTGAAAGTGATATACATCGTGGTCGGGTAAGTCAGGTAGTGAATCTGTTGTCTCAATGCTACCTGCTTATAACTCTCTAAGGGGAATTTCAGTTCTTGGTAAGCCCAGGACTGCATAGTAAATATGTGATATGCTATTACATTGTTTAATTATGGGAAAGCAACATTAATTGAGATAAATAAAACTTATTTTTAAAACTTTAAAAATGTAAAAGTGCATATTAGCTATAACATAGAGTTTGCCTATCTGCTATTTCCATTGTTTAAAATACTTTACCTCTGTTCGTTACATGGCATCCATCCATAGGGGACTATTTCCTGGATGGCTTATTTAACTGTCATCCTGCACTTTGTGTATAAGCCAAGTCTCCACAAACTAAAGCAAACAAGGTGGTTCATAAGAATGCCACAGAAAAGTTTGATATGATGAACAATGACAACTATTTGCTGGGCTCTACTCCACAACACTCTCTCTTGGAATCAGTGGCGATTCTAGACTCCATAAGGACCCCAGGTAAAAATTTATTGGGGGCCCCACCAACCAGCGTTCATCACCATTACGTCCTCATGCTTCCTCCTCTTCCTCTTTCTTCCTCCTATTTTCACTCCTCGATAGATAATTCCTCTTTATTTTCGTCCGGTTACTGTCATTAACAAATTTAGGTTTCCACAGAAATAATGCATGCGACACTGAGCAGAGCAACACGAGTGAGTGCTGTCAGATGGGGACCCCTTAAGGAGGTTTCCTACTGTCATTGTGAAATTTGCCCATCTTGAGCCACTGCTTTGGTTTAAAGTTTGTGAGCCCTCATGGGGGCCTGTTGACAAGCAGTGTCTCTGCTTGGAATGTGGCGAGTAAATTTGACTCTTTCTCTGGCTTACTCTCAAAAGATTCTCAAAAGTGTCCTGCCCCAGCTTCAAGGCATATAATTTAAATGATTGAAAAAAAACAGGAGGGCTGTTAAATGATTCATTTTTGGGCTTTTTGTGCCTTTAATGGAGAGATAGGACAGTGGATAGGGTCGGAAATCAGGGAGAGAGAGAGTGGGGAATGACATACGGGAAAAGAGCCACAAGCTGGATTTGAACGTGGGCCGCCCACTTGGAAGACTTCAGCCTCCACACATGGGGTACGCGCACTAACCACTGCGCCACCAGCACCCCATGATTCAAGAGTTTATTAGTTAATTTCAACAGATTTTTTTCAAATCCTTTTTTCATTTTGAACAACCTGATTTCAAGATTTAATTAGTTTTGAACAACTGGGCCCAGTTTCTGTTATTAAACATTTAACATGTTCAATTCTAGGATATATGAGCATCTGTCTGTCTCTCTTACCTGCTCTCCTCGGGTATGGACTTCCCTTCCTCCTTTTTGACCTCTGCTTCCTTCTCCTCGTTCCCTAGATTTCCCTTCCTCTCTCTGCTGAGCAGGAGATTTGCCAAGTGGCTTCCATTCCCGGGTGAAGACCCCTGACTTCTGGAGCCGGTCTGATGGTCATAGTGAGGCCTCCTACCTCTGATCCCACCGTGACCTCCTATCTCAGGGGTCAGCATGTCAAGGTTATCTGGAGGTCGAAACTTCTTTACTGCCCTGTGTTGACGCTCCCCAGTCAGTCTAGGGCTTCTGCGCTCACTGATGGTGTTGTGACTCTTGTTTACATCCAGTTTTCCACTATCTGTGAGGGATTCAGGTATGGCTCCGGATACGGAAGCATCAGGAAGGGGCACGTTTGTAGGATCCAATGATTCAGGCACCAGCACCGATAATGGCGGCTCAGGTATATCCCCACAGAGGGCAGCATCCACAGACATGGAGGAGCCTAACGCCTTACTCTTTATCGGTGAGGCTGAGGGATCTGTGAGGTGCTTCAAACTCCCAGAAGTGGTGTGCTCCATGGCCTTGCGGTGTAGAGACAGTGGCTGTCCAGAAGCAGGCGGCCCGTCCTTCTCCTCGCTCGGGCTGTTGAACAGGATCTCTCGGCTGGACATCTGGCGGTGTCTCCGCAGCTGGCTGGTCCTCTGCTCCCACACGGACATGGTCATCCTTTTTCTCCTCTCTCTCCTGGACATGAAAGAGTTAGAGGGGTTGAGTGGTGGGGGTGGGCGGCCCTCCCTGATGCTGCCCTGGGCCTCGTCCAGGGAGCAAGAGTAGGTGGGCCGGCTGCGGTGGATGGCTCTTTTCCTGTACAGATAGGGCCGCCTCCTCCGGCTTCCCCTGAGAAGATAAAGACAGGAAAAGAATGTTGGTATCCAAAGCAGACATGATCTTTAAATTAACTTTCAGAAGAAGATTAATGACTTAGTGTCAACATTAAGACATTTGTTATAATTTTGTAAGTTATTTTCTAATCTGGGACTGAAGCACCAAAAGAGTGTCCAATGTGCTGAGATGAAACGGTACTCTTTGATGAATTAAAGGTTTATTACCTCTGTGCAGAGAAAAGGAATATCACAGTACATAGCAAATGCTATTGGCTGATGTTCAACAAAGAGAGCTTATTTTCTCAAAATGAAGCCATTTACTGAATCAATGAAGATGTTTGGTGATAAATAAACCAAGCCAAGAGTTGTTGTGTGATTTAAATAACAAAATGAGTAAGATGCAGAATGAAATCAGTGGAATAATAATCATGGAAGTCATAAATGTGTGAGAGTTGGGAGGAACAGAACACAGCATGAACAGAATACTTTGCAGGATGAATGTGAGACACTAACCAGTTTTTTTAAAAATCAGACAGAAAGCTGAACAGTGAACAGTGTTACTTACTGGAGCGTGGACTCTTGTGTGGTCCGTGTTATCAATGAGCGATTGGTTGAAAACAAGACATTAGTGCTTTTCTAGCAGAGACAAAACAGGCCTGAAGACACCCCACAAATCAACTGTCCTCCAAAAGACAGCCGTTAATAGACTGTTAACACCATTTACAAGCTGTTTAGTTTTAGCTTTCACTTGTTAAATAAAACATTATCTTTTAGATGGAGATAAATCAGTTGATATTTTATGTATTCTGTTTGCAACAGTATATTTTCAACTTGCAGACGATGGGATACATTTGGAGGAGGTCCAACACTGCTTGGTTTGTTGTGTGTCTCCATTGGAGCCAAGCAAAAACATTGACAAACAGGATGGTATCAGTATTAGACAGAGTCAAACAACATTCATAAACATCAACAGTAAGCGCAACATTGATAAGATAAAGACGCCTGAGGTCAGATAGAGATGTTAGACAGGCTGAGCTGCAGTATGGGTACAGGTAAGACACAGAGATGGGCTCCACCAGAAAACAGAAGAAAAAGAGTGCATATTTAGATAACCTTAGAGCAAATAACCACCACACTGGGATGCAGCTCTGAACACACCAACAACCTCAGAGCACTCATACATTAGCATTCTTCTCTGACATGCTAGGAGCTCAATGTGGCTAATAACTGTGCTGGGCTTCAAAATGTTAGCTCAATATTATTGCAGTTCTCAAGAGAATTTGGAGGAGGGTTAAAAGGCTTCACAGTGGAAGAAAAACGCTCCACACACTTTCCTTTTACTTAAATCTTTGGATAACCTTTTGCAGCTTATAAAAAGAGTTCAGTGTGTGTGTGTGTGTGTGTGTGTGTAATTTCTGTTTTTCTTCCTTTGATCATCCAGAGCAGATGCATGCATTTCAAAAAAGCTGAAATCATTATTAGACTTCAACGTGCTTTATCTTTTTTAAAGGTTTAATATGCAATTTTTTGATCCAGCAGATGTCTCCCTTGAGCACCAGCATGAAACCAAAACAACTCGCGCTGCATTGTTGTGTTAGCATGCTAATGCTAGCGATCTTTATTATCCTCGTATCCTCACACTACATGTAAATTTACCCGAAATGACCGTGATCTAAAAACGCTTACATGACATTCAAATAAGCAGTGAGTACAGTATGTTATTCTTCTTTTCTCTAGTTCCTCAATTAAACAACTTTTATACGCGAGGGGATGAGCCGGCTGGCTGTCCCAACGATGTAAACAAAGTGATGCTACAGCTAGAAAAGCTCGGAAAGCATCACAGACAGCGGGACTCGAGTGTTACACCCATTGTAGACAGTCATGACTCGCAGAGTTATTTTCAGAGGATTTACTTAATTTCTATTACATTTAAGTGTAAAAAATTGCATATTAAGCCTTTAATGGAGCAAATGCTGTCATACAAGTTTCTACAAGGTCAGCAGGGTCACGGACCGTCTGGGTTTTATAGCTGACATTGTGAGATGAGACCAGAAACCCTCAAAGTTCAGAGCGTCCTCTCTGAATACCGATGGCGGCCCGGATGACCCTGTGGTATTCCCATCTCCTCTATGGGTTCTGACAGGAGCGTGACCCTCAGCTGGAAACTCTCAAACTAATGTGCACCTCAAGCTCTCTTTGTTTTAATTTCGATGAGGAGGTTTTAGGAAAATGGCAAGGCCTCCAGAGCGAAAGGAAGATAGGAAGCGTTAGAGAAGAAGGTACATCAGTTCATGTTATTGAATGTTTTGTAGGAAAATCTTCCACATGCCCATGCGACAAACTGCATGTTTCTCATTACACAGCGTGCACACAGAGCCAGAGGTCTCCACTCTTGTGCATGCACATGCACTTCCACCAGTTTAGACAACAATGTGAAAACAATCCCTGAGAAAAAGGAAACAATCTACTCTGCAAGCCGGAAACCTGAGCATTGAAAAGACAAGATCATGTTACTTCATGAATAAAAGTTTTACAGAATACTTCTGATCAAAGCTTTGTTTAACTTCCTTACACCTCTTTCTTGCAACAAGATCCACATTGCAGAAAACAAAAGTATATTACTGTATAGACTGAGTAACCCTGTCTCCATAACAACAATAGAAGCACCTCCCATCTTGGAGTAGAACCAGTAGCCATGGAAACATACATTAAGCTCCAATTTAGATTAAATGACAGTGCCAGGAGCAGGCAGAGGCTGGATGGTAGACTTGTCTGTAAAGACGTATCAATAAGTCCCACAGCTCTAAATACTGACTCTCTTAACAGACCCTAAGTGACATTTGAATGCACATCTGTAAGCTAATTTTTAATGACCATTAGCCTCCATAAATAAATCTGTTTTGCATGAAGTCGTTTAGTGATTCAAATCTACTAAACCAACTGATAGACAAACAATTTGCTCAAGGCTAGCTGAAAATCATGTTAAGTGTTGGCATGGCAGGTTACTTCTGCTTTGCCATTTTGAAAAACCCTGGAGGGAGAAGACAGAGGGAGGAGGAGAGGAAGTCAGGCAGGCAGGGCAGATGGATGCACTTACTCTGACGACATGAACGAGGACAACGGTCCGACCTCCTTTGCCTTCTGGAGAGCGTGCTTTTGGTTGAACGCTGCCTCTGCTTCCTCTTCATCCTGACCAAAAGAGGACAAGATGGCAAGTTTTAGTAATTAGACATAAAATGTTGAGAGAAAATTGACATGTTGGAGGGGAGAGATTTTGAAAAGTATGTTGTGTTACGTAACAGTCGAACAAGAATTACAGCAGACCAGACCGGGTTTCTTTGATATATTTTCTGTTTCTCATTTTATTGTTACCTTGGTAAGTTCTTGTGCATTGGCGAGATTATCCACAGCAATGGCCAAAAAGACGTTCAGTAGAGTGTCTGGTCATAAAGGAGTTAAGGACAGCATCAAAGTGTAATTTTTTAAAACATTTTTAACAGGTAGATAGTGATAGAAGAATTGCAGATCCCACTTAGAATCAACTCCTGCGCCTGCATCTCTGCAGCTCAGCTGGTCTGAATGATGTAATGCACATTTAGGGTAATAGAAAATCTGGGAAAAGTAATCTGGGAAAGCAAATCTGGGAAAGCAAAAACAGATTGACGTAATAAATAAAGAACAAAACTAACACAAGAAATCCAGAGCTTAAAAGAACGAAGTCCAAAAAAAACATCAGACTTTTATCAAATCAGCTTTCCTTTAGTAATCATGGAAGTGAGTTTAGGATACCTAATATGAAAAAAGGCATTAAGCACTATACGTGTAATGGTAATTCCAGTTGTATTTATAGAAGTGTAACAGAGGATACAGTTTCCAAATAGTGTGAGCACAATAAAGTAGATAGAGGACCACATGCCAGACTTCACTCCTCCTTGAGAGCGAATACCGTTGTACATAACCTCGTTCCAGTCCTCTCCAGTCAAGATCTGGAAATATAAACCACACAATAATACATAATATCACCCACAGAACCATCCTAAGCATCACTTAAGCTGAGTTATAAACTCCACATTACAAAATGTGTGTGAAACAGAGAGCATTCGTCAATTGTCAGGTATATTTCCAGACCTGAAAGACGGTCATGATGGCTGCAGGGAAGGTGTCAAAGTTTGTCGGAGTGTAGTCTTCAAAGATGAACCTGTAAGAAGGATATGACACATGCAGTCCTTAAAAAAAAGCAGAGCCAGGTATAGTTTTTATTTAGTTTTTCAGTTGGGGAGAAATCAATTCTCCTCCTCTCTAGCTGGCTCTTTTTTTTTTTTTTTAAAGCACGCTCTGTATTCTGGAGGCCAGTTTGTGTGTACCTCTGCCAGAATATATATAAGTGACAGCTTGTTGGAAACAGCCTTCGACTCAAGGGAAAACTAAGCAACAATAGCTGTGTGTGTGACAAAGGCAGTGTATTAAATCACATAGTGTCTCTGTATAATGAAAACAACAGTAGACAGAACTTAAGACAATCTATTCTCCCCTCAACCACGTCTGTTCAATAAAGAGGAAACCTAGTGATCCATGTAGTCTTCTTCAGCTTTGTTCTATGTTTGAGAATGTGTATTCAGTAGGATTCTAGGATTTGTGCAACCAGCCAAGTGGGAAACATTAACAGTCTTTATTTTCTGCCTGGTTGTTTCCTCACTTTATTCAGTTTCTTTATGGACTCATAAGGAGTGGTGGACAGAACTATAGGTAATTGTATTTCTCTCAAAGGGCCTTAGGGATACTTTAACTTCACCTGCCACCGAAGAGCTGCATGCCAAGGAGTGCAAAGACAACGATGAACAGGAAGAGGAGGAAGATGAGCGAGATGATGGACTTCATGGAGTTCATCAGAGAGATGACCAGATTTCTCAGAGATGCCCAGTACCTTTAAAGCCACAAAATATCACAATGATGAATTCTGAAGTGGTGAAAAAATGTTGCAACAAAAAGCATAACAACTGAATCTCCATCCAAACTGTCAAGGTGCAATTTGTATTTCTTTTGTTGGTAATGGGGTTCAAGGTTCTGACAAACAAAAGTAATATTGCATGGAATAAAATATTATGTTTTTTAGTTGTACTATTGTACTGTTGATAGTGAGTCTGGCAATGTGGGAGTGTGAAATGCTCAATGATAGAAGAAGTCTTTTAAACTGCTGGCAAATGGCACTACTTCAAAAGAAGATGTTTTATTTCTGGTTTCATCTTGATTAAAGGTGGAAGAAATTATTGTCAGAAGTACTTCATTGTCTACTTTATGAATACAAGTATATAATACGATATTCTAAAGATCCATGGTACCTAACAGTCGTATCCAACTATTGTAAAATATAGAAATACTACATATTTCATCAGCATGACTTCTAGACTTTAGCCAGCAGTGACTATTCCTTGTAAATAGTACCAAGCATCTTAACAGATGGTATAGAGTGAGGAGGGCTGCTGCACTAACTTGGTGATCTTGAAGATTCTCAGCAGACGGAGAGCACGCAGGACACTGATGCCAAAGGAAGTGCCGGGCCTGAAGAACCCCCACAGCACTTCAAAGATGCTGCCAACAATTACCTACACAGATATACAAAAGGATATAAATATATATATTTAATTAAAAGGTATATTAGGAATTACATCCTCAATTTAAACACACAAATGAAGAAATGTGAAATTTTGATTTCACATAGTGACAGAGAGAAGTAGGGACGAGGCAACAGACGATGACAGAGGGTAACAAGGCTGATAATTCATAGTCTTCAAAGACAAGCAGTGGGTCTTGTGAGAAACAAAGAAAGGGAGACAAAGTACTGACACTGCAGTCAAAGCAGTTAAAGGAGGAGTGGAAGTAGAGACGCGGCCCCAAGCTGTACATCTTCAGAAACATTTCAGTCAGGAACAGAGCGAGGAACAGGAACTCTGCATAGTCTGCAACAAAAACAAAAAACGACATTTCCATTTTTGAACTTTAAACACAAACCCTTTCAATTACATGATAAAATCACTTTATTTGATAGCTGTCGCAGTGGGGTCATGAAGCATATGAACAGTCAGACCACTCCTCAATACTTGAATGAATTTCCTGATATGACTCACAGAGGAAGTTGGACAGCCACAGAGGCTGATTGTGGTGAACAATTGCCACACACAGTGTGTTGAGAGCCACAAGGCCCAGCACTGTCCAGTAGAAAGTTTGTGTCTTCACCACACGGCGGATGGAAATACGCAGGAGACGCTCTTTGCGATGAAAATATGCTGTTGGACCCCGCTTGGTGCTCCTGATACTTGATCTGGCCATGGGGATGCCTGTGGGGATCAGAAGGAGAGTATGAGATATGCTTCTCTTTCGGCAGCTGCAGAGCTAAGACCTATACTTTATGTGACCATATTTATGTTTCTGTCCAGACTCCCACTCACCCACAGAGGAGATGTCACCATACTGTTCATCCCCTGGTTGCCCTCGATGCACCCCGTCCATCCCTCTCCTCTTGATAGTGGTGGCTCTCTTTAACACTGCAGAGAAGATTGCAAATAAAATGCCCCAGAACAAGCAGTACAAACTGTTTAACCAACACATTCATGAAGCTTAAGGGGACACACTGTGAGGATAGTGACACAAAGCAGACCTTTGGGCAACATTAGCAGGAGGTATAGTTTTTTTTTTTTTTCTTTTGCATTTTTAAATTCTCAGTAAGTCAATATGACTGGACTGTTTGTGTTTGCTGATTTTTTTAGTCAACAAAGCCCAAAAATATGTCTGCTGCACGGCCACCCTTACATTTAAAAACACTCACGGGTAGACTCAGGCAGTATGCAAGTATGATATGAAATCAATAAACAATAAAAAGATAATGACGAAGCAAACGATAAAGAGAAATCACAGCAAGCATAATCTGCATGAAAATCTAACGTCTGTGAAGTTTTAGCTGAGAGGGAAAGTTAAGCTCATTAACCCTGCAGTCAAATGAGATAAAAAATGATTGTAAGTGTAATGATCCAAGCAACTGAATGCATGACTTTTCCTGCTATTTTCTGATCTCTTATGACAAACCATGCTCACAGGCGACTTGACGGCCCATGCATTGCTCTAATTTCAGCTGTGTACAAGTGCTGTCGCACAGTAGCAGCGGACAGGACGTGCAGTGCACACATGCTGGATTTTGTGTGATGAGTATGTGTTGACCTTTATCACTGACTGGTGTTTTTATGATTACCTTTCCTATCCCTCCCCCCACTAGCACCTTCCCAGTGCCTTGTGATTTCTGAAAATTGCTTAAAGTCAATATTTGCTTGGGGATTTTTTTTCTTCAATAAGCCACTGATCAAACACACAGAGAGAATCAGATACAAAAAACAAAACTGCTTCCATACACTAGTGTTTGCGAAAGGCAGGACCACAAAGACCTGTCAACACACTCACATTGCAAGCACATGCTGCTGCCTTTTCAGACCAATGGTTGCTGAGGCAACAGCAGTCCCCCACCTTCTTTTAGGCAGAGCTTCTGCTCTCTTTTCTCTCTATCTGTTTTTCCCCCAGATTGTTATTTTCAATTTATCCTTCTTATATCAGAAACATCCTGAGCAAGAAACTTACAGAACAAGGTTTAACTTTGTTCAAAGCCCCGTCTCGTGCATATTTAAGTGGCGATGTGCGTGAAATATGAGATGGTGAAGTTGGTGAGGGAGGGAGGGAGAACAGAGGGCGGTTCTCACCATATGCACCACCTGTACTCCACTCTGGGAGACTCCTGAGAGCTGCCAATCAATGAACATTTAATAAAAGCCCTGCTGCTTTAGTGAGGAGGAAAGGTCAAAGTACAGTAAAGGGGTCAGAGGAGGCATTAAGTTGTCTTTTTTTGGCCCTCGTGTGTAGTGGCAGGTTTAGCACTATCAGTACGTGATCTTACCAAGTGCTCCACGGCAGCAACAAAAAAACTGGGCAGTACAATATATCCTGAGCTGATATATGATCAGGATTTTTTTCTGTCTTTTGATATTGAGGGAAACTTTTAATGTTTTAGATTTTTTTTTTGTCTCAGGAGGTACATTTCAACAGGAGTAAGAGTCTTCCACCATAGTAGAAGCTCAATGTATGCTCAAAACAACTATGCTAACTATGGCATGCTAACAAAGTCACAATTATAATGCCAGAAATTAGGATACTTTGCACAGGAATGCTCTACCAAAAGTGTGTCCAATTTCACTATGACTGACACCTACAGTTTTTTTTACCATGTCCCACATCTAAGTTTTGTCGTAAGCGTTTGCTAAGCAGAATTAATCAGCTTAGTACAGCTGAGGCTAATGTTGTCAAATCAATGATAAGCAAACGCATTGGAGAAATTACTATTTTGATTGGATGATGTTTGTAGATAAAGACTGATGATTACCAGAAATGTTGCTGTGCATTGTCATAGTTTCGCTTTTCAGCTTCACGCTGACATTAGCATGTTAACAATCACCACCACACTGGTAACATGCTGATGCCATTCATGTTATGTTTACAATGCCTGCATGCTAACCTTTGTTAATTAACTCATAGCACTAATTACAGCTAAGGCAAAAGGGAATATCATTAGTTTGATCAAAATTAAGGTACTGGGGAGAAGTCAGGGAAATCTCATTAAGATTCCCTCTTGAGGAACCATATACTGTACAACATTTCTTTGCATCAAACAGTTGCAGAAATATTTCAGTGTGCCATCCTTTCAGTTTTGACTAATCAGGGCTCAAAAGGATGGCAGCTAGCAGGACTACAAATGAAAACCAGACTGAAATGTAGTTCAACTTTGAAAGAGTTATTCTTATGTCCTTATCTTTTAAAGTATTTTTTAAAGTAAACCTGGAAAAAAAACACGTAGGCTACATAATACAGCTTCAAACAGCCTTTTAAGCACATTTACATTATAGCTACATGCTGGCATCAATCATGAGTTGAAGAGAGACAGAATGTAAAGCAGTGTAAAGACAGCAGAAAGACAACATGAACTCTGACATTATAGAGAGATTATAAAACTATATTTCTAACTTACCATCGAGGGCTGAAGGTCCTGAAGTCTTATTCTCCTCTGCAAGCATCACTTCCTCTGTAAAGTCACACAGACATTAGAAATGAGCAGCAGATGATAGTGAAGATGGGGAGAGATATTCTGCCATCTTTGCTAAATTAATTCACATGTGGAACAATCAGCAGAGGAAAAAAAAAGCCCAATATTTACAACTAATAACGTTAGACTTTAATGTTTAAGGTGAAATATTGATTCTCTCTCTCTTATCTAGAGCAGAATATCCTTGGTCTCCCTGAGCTGTGTCTGGGACTAAAGCCACCTGCTCTGTCGATCCAGGCCCGGTAGCCGTTGAGCTCTCTCTCAATCTGCTGTTGGCGTCTCAGCTTCATGAAGGCCCTGCGGTTTTCCACCCTCTCCCTCTCTTTGGCAAATTCCCTGCAAAACCAAACCACAGAAGCATTTACTTAGTCTTTTAGGAAACAGTTGTACACACACACTTTACTTGTACATTCAACCACAAAATGAGACAAGAGGAGAGAGAGGAGAGGAGAGACAGCAAGGCAAAGGAGGTTTCTTCTCTCCCACAGTGGAGATAATGACAATGGCTCCCCAATTAACCTTTCTGTAAAACGAATTAACTTGTATAGACTTAGACACTGTGCACTGAAGCAGCAGGGTTTGTATAGACAGCAGCTCAACTAGTCAGTGAAAAAACAATTAACACTGCCTTTTTTCTGTCAGGACAACAATACCAGCTGACTGAATAGTCACACAGCCTCATACTGTGTGACTATCATCGTCACCTTGGAAGGATCTGAAGGCTGAGTGCGCACACTCTCAAGTTGATCTTGTCCCAACCCAAAACTAATGGTGCATCTGAAAACTCACAAGTCAGTTAAGTTGACCCTTTCCTGTGGCACATAAGGCTACCAGCACCAGAAAATGCGGTACTTTATGAAGTCTTAGTGCCAAAAACTACAGTCACAACCAGTAGGCTGAAATTAATGGACAGAAAAATGGTGAATTTACAAAGGTGACTACAAACATGTATTGAAACGTCCAGTCCTCTGTATACCCAAGGAAGTCATATAACATATGCATGCTGCTAATAAAAAAAGATTCATTTCTAACTTTAAGAATCCACAGAGTGCAATGTGCAGACTACAATGAGCTTCAGCACATACCAGATTCACCAAATCAAGTCCCTTGCCTTCAAAGAAGGTGTCCTTAACCCACTGATAATATACATTGAAGTCAGTGAATAAATTATCATATATTTGAAAAAAAAAGTTCAGTATAACACAGGAGTTATTGTCATGTCCAGCTCAGGGTCTTAGGTTGTTTTTATTTCTATCTTGTTTTATTTTCTGTTTTGGGTCACTAACTTCTCCTCTCGTTTCAGATCCGTCACTTCCCGCCCTCATGTGTTTCCCACCTGTGTGATTGTCTGCCCCGCCCTGATTGTTCCCAGCTGCATCTCGTTGTCTTCCCCCTCACCCTACTATTTAGTCTGTAGCTTCCCTTCCTTCTGTGCCAGTTCGTCTTCGACACCTGTGAGAAGCGTTCAAACCTTTTGTTTCCCCTTTGATCACTTTTTTGGATTGTATCTTCTTCAAGAGTAAAGACTGTTTTTTCCCCCCATCAAAGACTGCGTCGTGAGTCGTGCTTTTGGGTTCACTTACCTGTGGTGTTGTTACAGTTATAAAGTGGTTTGTCTTGTTTCCAAACATTGTTAGATTCCCCAGTATTCCGAAACCCTGGTTCATTGCAGACATAGCAATGTCTGCAATGTGGTGTGCATTCTTTAAATCAGGGGACATCAGGGAGTATAAGCATGCCCAGTATGAGCTCCAAAAGTCCATCAGAGCTGCCAAAAGGACATACTTCCAAAGACAACACCACAAGAGGTATGTGGCAGGGAATACAATCCATATCAGATTACAGGAGTAATCCTAGCAGAGAAAAGTCTGTTACTTTATTCTATTCCCCAGCAAGGCTGGAGGACCTAAGGAAATGGCAACAAGAGTCCTAAAGGTCTGTGCTGAACAGCTGGCAGGGGTGTACACAGTCATCTAAAACACCTCTCTCATGCAGGATATTGTCCCTCAGACCTTTAGATCATCTGTTATAGTTCTGGTACCTAAAAAGCCAAACACAACACGGGGGACTAGTTGAAAGCATCCTCACAAATGCAATCACTGTGTGGTTTGGATACATCACCCTGGCAGAGAGAAAATCCCTTCAAAGGGTCATCAAAACCGCAGAGAGGATCACCAGCTCTCCCCTCCCTGGAAACACTGTACACACACAGCGCTTGAGGTGAAATAAACAGAGCACCCTCAGGGACAAACACCACCCAGCCCATGCTCTGTTCAGGTGGAAGGATTTAGGCTACAACCTTCAACACCACAGACCAGAGAGCATCTCAATTCACGAGGCCCGCTTCAACAACAGCTTCTTTCCTGCTGCTGTCAGACTCATATCACAGGACATGAAGGTTATATCACACCCCACGCCTCACATATTCAATGGACATCATACCATCTCACAGTACAAAAACTAATTGTACAATAATAGCCTTTAGGATAACTGTGCAATAATATAATGTGTAATAACAGGTATGGAAAATGTTCTTTGTGCATTCACATGATGTAAAAAAAAATCGCAGATGTACACAATTCTCCGGACAAGGTAACATATTTTTACTATATTTTACTATATATCTCCATTTATAGTTTTTATAAAATGAACCTGTTATTTATATTTCTTGTGTACTTTTTGGAGGTACAATTTTATCTATTTTGCTGCTCTTTCATCTTTTATCTTGCTCTTCTATTTTTAAACTTCTTTTGTAGAGCTGACTCTTGGAGGAATGAACACTCATACCAATGTACATGTACTGTACTGTCCTATCCCTTCGCAAATGGCATACATATCTATTCTGTTCTAATTTATTACAGTAGTGCACATTAAATACATGGCAACCCTGCAATCAATTGAAAAAGCAATTTAAGGCCAGCAAGGATCACCATTAAATACATGGCAACCCTGCAATCAATTGAAAAAGCAACTTAAGGCCAGCAAGGATCACCAGTTGTGTACAGCAACCTCAGCAGGAAGAAGCAGCATCTTAACATACAGGGGTGCTATTCAACTGGGGCCAGCATTTCAAAGAGCAGGTACAAATCTTATTATGTTGATTGTGTCTGGGCTAGCAATATATCCAGCAAATCTCCTTTACAAACGTGTTACTTCAGCTTGCAAATTAAATAATAACAAGAAATTAGTACCCACCCAGACAAGACTCCCAGCACCAGATTCAGGACAAAAAAAGATCCGATGATGATAAGAGGGATGAAGTAGAGCCAGTTCCAGTTGGGGCCCAAGGCATCATCAGCCTGAAACATCAAAATACATTCTAAAGTAAGTTAAATGCAAGATAGAAATGAAACACAAGCCAGAAATGCCAAAGTGTAGGTGACGTTCCAGTTGCAGGCGTGGCATCGACTAGGGTCATGTGTATTGATCTACTCTGGACTCATAGAGGAGAAGCTATATAGTATGTATGGACCAATATAGAAACAGAGTAGAGCACCACTACTTTTCTTTACTTTACTTTACAGCACCTAGACATCAGAACGTTTTCTGTGTATCTCAGTGACTACATTAAACATCATCAAAGTAATTCTCTTTGGTCAGCATTCATATTTCAGCAGCACTGCAGGATCATATCGTCCCACCTTCAATCATCAAGCTCACTGAGCATCACTTTAGGCAACGTCATACAATTTCTGTGACACGTCTTTTTCCTTTATCCATCTTAATAAAAAAAATGAGAGCAGGTAGAAGCTGACCTCTAATAAAAGAAGAAGAGAAGGTTGTGCTGGAGAGTGTATGATTGTCACTTTATTGTCTGAGGTAAAAGAAAACTAGAATTCTGCCTCACAGTTGAATATCTCATACATCACACAAGAAGTTTACATCTCTAAGTGTTTCATGGAAAACAACAGAATTACAACACATTATTACGTTCTCATTTGTTCCCCAGTAACCATACAAAACTTTGTGTAGTTTATCTAGCATTCATTATCTGTTATGTAGTCAATAGCTAAGCTATAATGTTTGATGAGGAGTTTCACACTACCTACCCCTTAACTAAAGGTTTACCAGCATTTCGTTCTCATTCGTCCACCAGTAACTATGCAAAGTATGTGTACCTTATTGTAAAGTGTTACCTAATGCTGTTTGTCCTTGAGGGTGATTTGGGACTGTGTTTTATCAATCCCATTAAATCCTCCCTTAATCAGATTCCACAGGTCTTCTTAGGAGTGCCTTGAACCTGCAGCTGTGTTTTTGAAAAGGGATCAATACTGAACCTGAAACACTGAATAATTGCTCCAAAAGCTTTTTGAATATCAGCCCATATTTCAAGCAAGTCTCCACATAGCACACTTGCCCAGTATTACTCTTTTTCTTTGGAAGATGTTTCTCTGATGTTTTCTTATTCCACCCTGTGTTCCTTGTAATTTAGCGCCAAGCAAAAATGTGAACATGATTGGACTTGATTTATTGGATGTGCATGCAGCAACAGATCTATTAATAATCATAAAATCATGTCATTATCTGCCAACTGCTTGCCTTTCTGTCTATATAATGTCTCTGTGTGTCTGCCTTCCTGTCCTTTACACTGAGACAAAAGAAAATCCTATAAAGCATGATGCAGGACCTCACTTGTAACCCTTTTCACACATACAGAAAGCTCCTGAAAAACTCTGAAAACCCTGAAAAAAATATTTGGCTACCTGGAGGGGCTTTAGGCTATATGTGAACGCAAACAGCCACATTTTTTGCGCGGACTTTACCCGGAGTTTCTCCAGCCAGACTCCTGTAATAATCTAGCTATTATCTGGAGTGCGTATGTGAAAACGGCCGTTGCACATATGCACTCCTGTGAATCTGTGTCTGGTTACAACGCTCATTTTTTGGGAACACATCTAGGTGTGATGCTCAGAACAGTGTGTTCTTGTTTCTTTTGGTATCTTTGGAATTTCAAATCATTTCCTGTGTTTATACTCATATAGCAGAGGTTTACACCGTCCATTATTACATTTGCAACAGATTCTAAAATGCACCAAATTTCATAACCAGGTGCTGTTCTGTATGAAGGTCTAGCCCAAAGATGCTGCACGCAACACATTTATTTAGGATAGAAAAAAAACAAAAAAGGCAAGAAGACAGAACAACAGTATTGTGTTTTGCAGATTCATTGCCAAAATCAAACCACAGTTATCCAGCCCTCTGTTGTTTCTAAACCACTGGCAATTTAACAGTAGGGGCTGCAGGGGTTGCAGACTTCCACTCAGCAGCCACCAGTGTGCTGAAAGCCTCTTCTGTTCATTAGAGTTAATGGAGTCTAAATCAAAACAATGCTTCACATCAACAATTTTCAGCAAGTGAGGATCAGATTACGGCTGGCACACGTGAATGTATGTATGTGTGTATGTGATGTCTCACATTGTAGAGTACGGTTGTCCACCCCTCCATGGTGATGCACTGGAAGACTGTGAGAACAGCAAACAGGATGTTGTCAAACTGTGTGATGCCGTCATTCGGGCCGATCCAGTTATCGTTGCAGGTGTATTTAGGCGGACATTGACGAATGCCACACGGGAACTCCACCTCAGAGGAGTCCACTGTCTCATTTTCTGAATAGGAAAGGTGCATGCAAAGAGAAAAAACAAAAAGACATGAATAATGTTTTATAAAACAAACAAAAGACAAAATAAATTGCCTTCAATGTACTGCAATGTTCACTGGCACCCAAATACAAAATACATTTAAAAATAAGCAGCCAATGAAACATGAGCGCTTCATTTAACACCTTCAGCACTAAATCAGAACAAAAATAAAATCTTTGTTCTCATGTAAATGGTCTTTAAAGTTCAAACTAATCTATATACTCGACGAGTATAATGACCTTCATTTCTGCGCCACAGGTGAGTTGTGTAACAATGTATTCTCAGCCTTGGCCTTTGCCCAAATGTCATGTTGTACTTAAGGAATTGAATCAAAGTCAAAACGACTTTAAAAGAGTTTGTTTGCAGAGTGCCTGTCTGAACAGTGACAGGACCATTCAGAGACATAAATTACTCTGTACAGTTTGTCTGTTGTCTTACTGTCCATTCAGAATCAATATGTCAGGTGGAGCTTGAAGGTTAATGACAGCTCTGAATGTACAATCAGGCATTGAGCACTACCGTATTGTTGATTATAATTATATTGGAAAAAACTGCCCGTGTGGTTTGATCAAGTCCGCAGGAGCTGCTTTTCAAAACACTTTGTCTACATGTTTACGCAGGGGGATTGTGAAAGCAGAGGTGCCTGCATTTTCCACATGCATACATTTAGAACCCACATACTAACAAAAACAACAGGTGAGCTCGGACTTGACTTTTTGGTTTTAAAGTTCTGTGTTGTAGTTCCCTGTGTAAAGAGTGTACAAAAAATATATAAATATATCAATCTATAAATAAAAAAATACACTTTTGCAACCATGCTGTGCTGCTGATATATCTGTATATTTTATCCATACACTGTAGCCATAACACAACCTATAGTCTACCTGTGCACCATAAGGAAATATGTACAGTAATGAGCGTGTGTATACCTAGTATTCCGGGCTGCGGCTGGCAGGTATGGTGCAGTTTGCCGCTGTAAAACTCCAGGCCAATGATGGCGAACATGAGGATTGCAAAAAAGAGCAGAAGGCCAATTTGCAGCAGAGGAACCATGGCCTTCATTATAGACTTCAAGACAATCTGCAGACCTGGAGGTAGAGCACACAGTTACAAAATGAGGAAGAGCAGAGACACGTCTTGCAGAACAACTTTTGATACATGCGTGTACATTAAATATAACCTTGTAACAACAATTTATGATTGGAATAAATAAAATTAATTCTGACTATTTTGACATACGTAAACATTTTTCAGATTCTTGCTTTGAAAATACGAAATTGTTGTTTTTTAAAGTTCACATATTAGGCAAAATACACTTAACCACGGTTTAATATGTGTCCCTAGATGTCTACAAACCGCCCAATTATGAGAAAAGTCCATCCTCTCCCTCTTTTGCCAGCTCTAATTTTGAGAAAATGTGTGCTTAAACAGGCGGTTTGGAGATTTTCCCTTCATGACATCACAAAGGGCAGTAACCCCTCACACAGGTGGGTGACACTACCACAGCTAGGTGTTTGTTCTACCCTCTGAGTCTGCCTTCTCACTGTAAACAATTGGGCATGGTTCAAGAAAGCCAGAGACAAATCCCCCTTCAGAGGGGCATGGCCAGACACAGCTCATTTACATTTAAAGCTACAGACACAGAAACAGCCTGTTCTGAGCAGGGCTGAAATAGAGGGGTTTATAGGCATGATGTAATACAGGATCAGAGTGGATTTATAACAAAAAACCTGACAGACATGTTTTAGGGACCTCTAAGACTTATTTAAACTTGTTAGAAAGGAGAATATGTGACATGTAAGCCTTTTATGGTAGTTAATTTAACATCTTTGCATATTTGACTCAAAGTCCAAACAAGCCACCTGAAGGTGATTATCGAATGGGCATTACATTTTTTCTGATCACTTTTTATCCAAACCTTGAAACAACTGATAACAAAATAATCTGCAAATGGATTATACTAAGAGGAGTCTTTATTTGCACTCCTTTATCAAATGTTAGACTAATACCTCGTTTTATGAAGGACATCAATTGTTTATTAGTTGAACCTTAAATTAAGAACATTCATTTGGGAATGCTTTTAAATGAAATTGTTCACACTCAAAAACAACAAACAGATTTTTAGAAGCTGTGCCACCACAGCTAGCCTTTGCTTTACCAAAGTCCAAATAGCAGTAAAAATGTTTTGAAGTTATCACACTCACTGGGGATGCCTGAGACCAGTTTGAGGGGTCGGAGCACTCGTACGGCCCTCAGGGTCCTCAGGTCAACTGAGATGTTCATATGTGCTCCTGCTGCTGCCAGGATCCTTTCAGAGGATAACACACACACACACACACACACACACACACACACACACACACACACACACACACACACACACACACACACACACACAGAGGTTAACACAAACGTGTTTTTGAACATGAAAAACCCATACAAACAGAAGACAGAGACACAAAGCAGTATTGTCACCCGTCTTGTAGATGCACAAGGACTAATTTTCACAATGTATTATCAGTGTCAAAAAGAGGTGTCTCACACACATATAGACCCACACTAAGGCCACCACAATAAAAGATGGAGGATGGCTGCAGTTTTGAGATATGGAGAGAGGACGTGAGGGTCTCAGAGACACAGAGAAACAACAGGGATATATTTAGGGGCTTTTGGCTGGTTCTCTGTGTGGGAGGACGGCTGTGACAACCACTATTTAGAAGGAAACAAAAACAGCAGCTCCATCAGTGGAAGGCAGGACACCCTAAGGCTGAGAGACATGAAGCTCACAGACCAACACATGCTGGACCACACAAACAAAAAATGAAACATATCAACCTTATCTGCAGCACAGAGTCCTTCAAAAGATCCACTTTACTGTGTTTTTTGTTTTTGTTTTTTGTCTCCTCTTATTCTTCCTGTAAATACACCTCAGGGGCCTTCAGTCCTCAGGCAGATGTGAAAAAGAAAGGAAGCTGCTTCCTTGTTAATCTGCCCTCCTGCATCCATTGTTCTCTCCTTTCTACATCCTTATATCTTTCTCTTCATCCATAAAACCTCTCTCCTCTGAACTCCCTCCTTATCCTGTTTTTCAGCCTCCTTTCAAATTACACCTGCACCTTTGATTCCTTATTTTTCCTGTTTCCACTGACCACAACACACATTGATTCCCCTTTTACCTGGATGCCAACAGGATGAAAGGCAAAAATCAATGGATAAAGGATAAAGATTAGAGCGAAAGAAGAGTCAAAAATGTATTTAACAAGTACAGGGTGGTTGAAGTTTAAATTCATATTCATAGGATTTAATCCCCCCCCAACTACAAAACGTAGAGACCCAGAGATTACTAGAAATGTATTCTTATTTACTTTGAAAGGGGAAAAATGAGGTCAAAAACAAATAAAACAAGAATTTCTGAGTTGGGAGATTGCAAAATTGGTTTGTGTGTGTGTATGTGTGTTTATATGTGAACTACAGTGGTAAAAATCCTGTCATTATGTGCAGTAATTTGCTCAAGACAAGAGCATACTTGGTCCCCACACAGCTACACAGCTAAAGAAGCCGCAACACAGACCCCGTTACATTCCTGTGATGCTGTGGTGAGAATTAGTTCTGTCGGTAGCGTTGAAGAAACAGGGTGTAATTTAATTAACAGAAGAGAGAGAGAGACTGAGGGAAGAGGAGGGAGAAAAGGATTAAAATAGCTCCTCATCATCCTCCACAAATACAGAAATAGAATTATCCTCATGAGTTTCTAACCTCACATTATTCCCCTTTGGTTTACCCACTTTCACCTTTTTCCATGACACATTTTGTGTCATCCTTTTTGTCTTTTGTCCCCTCCCATCCCTCCCTCTGCTGCCTCCTGTCATCCCCCACTTCTTCCATCTCTCAGTTTTTCTTCGGACCATTAGTCAGTCGTGGCTGCTCCTCAGTTGTTATGGAGACTAGAGGATAGAGGGTCTAAAAATGGCTTTCTCATTTACTATTACTGTTATTCAGTAGATGTCTCCGAGGTCATGTTTTGTAACGATTGTTTATACAGTGTATGTGAAGAGATGGTTTGACCTTAGTTACAAAGCCCATTGATTTGTTTGGACAGATATCATGTTAGAGATGTTAAATGGTAAATGGACTTGAGCTTGTATAGCTCTTTCTACTCTTCAGACTACTCAAAGTGCTTTAACACCGCATGTCTCACACACTGATGGCAGAGGCTGCTATGTAAAGTGATCATCAGTATTAACTAATTCCATTCATACACATTCACACACCATTGACAAAGCAGAGGGAGCAACTTGGTGTTATATGTCTTGCACCAAGGAAACATCGGAGCTGGGGATCTAACCTCCCGGTTGAGAGACGACTGCTCTGCAAGCCGCCCCCATGTTTATGAGCTTTTGAATGACTCATGTGGTTATAAACAAAAACTCTTAGTTTTTTTTTCTCAAAGTTTTTGACTTGTGAGTTAGTTTGTTAATTTAGGACTATTTATTCTTCACTGACAACAAACAAACACTTTTATTCACTTTAAAAATTATTTATTATTTTTGATTTGATTTGATTTTATGTATGATTTCAACATCTCTCTCAGACTTTTATCCCCATCAAACTTGTCTGTCAAAAGAGTTTGTGGTATATTTGGGGTCTCATAGTTAAACGTATGGAGGGTCTTAAGGACTTCAATGGTTGAACCTCGGTGGTCATTCTCTTAACCGACCCCAGGGACAACACACATCTGTCTACAGGTGAAGCTACAAGTAAGTCACTTTTAGTCCTTAGGAGCTTTCACACTGTACCATTGTTGTTCCCCCTGTATGATTTGAAAGTGTTAGTTAAGATACACACACACTGTGTAAGACGGGACACACAGCGTAGTGAAGTGAGTTGACGCCCTGGTCAGAACTGTCAGCCATGATAAGTGAGTAACAATGACACACACACGGCAGAACTGACGGCTCCCTGCTGTGTGACAAATCTGTGGTGACACCCATCATGCTGGGATACTGAGAGTGTTGTGACTTATGCTCCATGTCACTGTCAAGCTGCTTACTCATATGAGACCAGATCACCTGACTACTGTTAACTGATATTACAACAAAGAGTGTGTTATTAACGCCTTTGGGACTCAATCGTGGAATTTTTAGTTGTGTCCCAAGATGTTCTGTAATACGAAAGCATATTTCTACAAGAAAAACGTTTGTTCATTATTATTACTTTCCTAAGCTGTTTTCACATAATGCACACCTGAAAATCTCATACATGGCTGCCCCTGAAATCTTCCTGAGTTGGTTGTTTACACATTTTCCTCACAGCGGGAGACTATCCCTGTTGGATGGAGAGGGGGTCTCAAGAGGCAAGGCATGACTTAAGAAGAGCAACTTGGAGATTGCGCATGAAGCAAGAAAGTAAAGAAAACCCCCAAGGCAACAAAGTAGGCTATATGACAGAATAAAGGGAATGCTTGCCTATAGATAAATGCAACTTTCAATTTGACACAATCACAATATCATCAAAAAAAGCATGAACATACTGAACAGTGAACAGAAAAGATAAAGAATGGGTTTCACTTTGTGCATGGAGATCTGTTGCATTCTTACATCAGCTTACCCGGACTTTATGCTTAAAATTTCCGAGGGGTCTGGCAGGAGAAGTCTGGGTAAAGTCAGGGTGAAAAATTTGACTGTGTGTGTAATCACATGCAGATCAGGAGTTTTGTGCAAGTGTGAAAGCACTATTCTGAACTTTCATCTTGTGACTAAGTATACACCTTTTAATCTCTCATACACTAGTGATAATGAAGGGGATTTGGTTAAATCAAAAAAGCTTTACACTGTGGAAATTGGAGTTCTAGTGGGGTGAAAGAGTTTGTAAGTGTTTCCAACCGAAAATGTATTACAGAACCACCGACCTCTGTGTATATGTATGACTAACAAAGCAAGTATAGAAACAGCTATGTGGGAGTGCAGGTTCTTATAAGGTGTCCCAGTTAGCCAGCATGCTCAATTTTAGGACATTGTACCTGCGTCTTCATGAAAAATGCTCATTTTCAGTTTCAAGTCAAATATCTGCCATGAAAAATGTCTATTATGGTGTTTTTGATGTCTCAGGCTCAATTGGAGGATTTTTGTACTTTGAAGTGAGTTGAAAAAAAATGTGGTGACTTGAATATTTTACTTAGTTCTTGAAAAGTTTCAATGTGGGAGGTTTTCCACCAACCAAAAACCAATATAACTAAAAGTATATATGGTCATTAAAGTTTCAGTGTGTACAGCGAAGCAGGATTACTTGCAGTTTATTGCATCAGGGGAAGAAAATCCAGCAGAGAGCAATTTGCAGAAAAACAAACACATGAGCTGGATACAATTTGGACAGGATTTTAAATGACTTTAGAGTAACACCATATATTTCACCTATGGCAATCGAAAAGAGCAAAACATTTACAAAGAAAAAACAGTAAACTTAAATACAGAGGGCATTGTTCTCTAACCCCCCGTGGACACTTTGACAGAGTTGTGACATCTTTTGAAAAAGGCTGCTTTCTAACAGCTCTGCAGTGGATATTACAGCCGTGTTGTTTTAGTTTTTTCACTGAATCATCAGTCTTAAACTCTCTGTGTTTAGGACTTATTGATATTATTCTTTACAAATGGAAATGCTGCCATTTGGTTGACTTCCTATGCTATTGACTGAATTTGGATCATTTCTGACTGAACAGGGAGTCTGTTATAGTCACATTTGACATTTGAGTTTTAGAGACACCAAGCCACACGGCAAATTCATTTCCAACTGATATCTACAGGGGTGAGATACATCTGCTTCCCTGTGCGATTATTACAACATACAGAACTGCTCACATCTACTACTGTTACTGAAGATTTGGAGCTGTTATTGTTACATTAAAAAAAATGTTTTCTTTTTTTTTTTTAAATAGGGACAGTTCACACTAATGAACATAAACATGTAAATGTGCCAGATTTGTATTTTGGCTAATCCATCTGTAGTCCTCTGCATGTTGGTGGTACAAACGAATACAAATAATTTTAACCTCAATGAAAAGCAAACAGTAGTTTAAGGGTGTAACTGTTTGTAGAGACAAAAGAAGCTGGCAACATTTTCTCCAAAGTTTTGTACCTCTCAGCAATCTATCCTCTCTGTATAAGAGGAGAGCGGATCAGCATTTTTGAGCTTTTTCTCCCTTTTTGGCAGTACGTTGAATTCATATATCTGCTCTGGTGGCCCCCAAGTACAACTGTGGGTGGTGAGCGTACAACAGCTTGTCTTAACGGAATAAGAGATTGTGTGGAGCAA